GGGCACAGGGCAGGGATGATGCTTCAGCCTGCACTCCAAATTTGTAGCTGTACACTGTTTGAACAGATGTTTTTCTTTTTATTGAAAGAGAATTTTTTAATAATGGAGCTGAGCTTTATTCTCTAACCAACTATTGATTGGATTTTCTATCATCAGACAGGCACAGAGAAACATGTAGAAAAACTTGGTTTGTGCCCTGTTAAGCAACTCACACGTCTGCCTGTGCACCTGCCTGTCTGCCTGTGCATGGACACACACCCAGGCACCCACAGTCAAGCACACAGCCCCCCTGGCACACACAGCTACGTGTGGCTGCAGTTACATGTGACATGAGGTATAAAGCCAGGTCTCTTAATTTAAGATTGCTTCCCCTGGTCTAAGCCATGATGAGGTGGGACATTTTGAATGCTGCTTTGGCTCCTTCTTTGTATTTTGCTCAGGGACTTTTCTGCAGATGTGCCAGAGGAGTTTGGTGTTTTACATACACCATATCATATGGCCAGACATGTCTAGGCTCTGGGAGAGGGGCAACAAAAGGATGCAATTTATGCCTTGATTGTGGCTTTTGTCAGGTTCATCTAGGCTTTTCCATTTTCCATCTGGGGTCGTGTCCAATTTACCTTATTTTCTTCCTTGCAAGTTTAAAAATAGCAGAGAGAAAAAAGAAAATTACCCTTAGTGGTGCATTGGAGACAACATCACCTGTGAGCTACTGCCATGTACAGGTTCTGAGGAAATGCTGAGCCTGTTTAATGCACAAGAACAAAATCTTCCTTTACCATCAGCAATGCAGATGTTTTATTTACATGGTGACAGTCCCTGTGCGTGTTTCACACTCATGCTATGTGCAAAACTCTCCGTGCAGAATGAATGCAGAATATATAATTGAGATCTGCAGTGCAGGTGAGTGATTTCCCACTGCTGACCCAAGAGGAAAATTGAGCCTCACACATCGTGTCAGGGATGTCCAGGCAACACAATGCTGCATGTGTGTGCCTGCTCTCCCCATCCAGATGGGATATTTGCCTCTAAGATTGCACTGCAGTTCTTGTGGTTTGCTTTCCCTTTACTGCTGATTGTGGCTATGCCCTTTGTGGCAGTCAGGGGCTCGCAGGTGTGTTTTCTCTTTGAAAATGTGATGTGGTCGATTGGATGTAGAATTCCAGAGATCGGCTCCACTCCCTTGCTTCTTGCTGTGTGGGCTGAGCAAAAAACTCTCTGCACCACCTTAAGATTCTATCTATCTATCTATCTATCTATCTATCTATCTATCTATCTATCTATCTATCTATCTATCTATCTATCATCTATCTATCTATATCTATCTATCTATCTATCTATCTATCTATCTATCTATCTATCTATCTATCTACCTACCTACCTACCTACCTAATCTGTCCATCTCTCCTTTTATCTTTGTTCGTTTTGTGTTTATCTGCTACCTGTAACAGTTAAGTTGAAGAGCCTCCATCTTCATTTTCAGCTTTAAATAGGCCCTTTGTGGAATATAAAATACACCTAGGATCCCACAGAGAGGAGATGAAGAGATTAAATGGGAACATGTTCCTAGCAAATACAAGCTGAGTATTTTTGAACAAAAGTGTTATTTTTTCTATAACTATGAAGAGGTGTCCTGTACCCAATGGTGGACCCCTCCTTTTCTCCCTGCCTTTTCTTGAGGCCACTGGATATGATTTCCATCTTCATGATTTTCCACTTGATCTGATTCTGTAGGACTGTCCCGATTAGTAACAAAGAAGTAAACCTTGAATTGGTAGTAAAAGGGAAGAGGAATCACCTGATTTGTCTTTGCTTGTGGGAGCAGACTTAAGTCTCCTGGTCTGGCAACTGCACAATATTTGTCTCATAGTGCTGAACTTGGGAGTGCTGGTGGTAATTCCTGATCATCTGCCAGAGTCTCTCTTGGTCCACTCTTCTTCTCCCTTACCAATCTGTTCTTTTGTGATGCCAGGTTAGCAATTTTTAGATTTCCTCAAATTTACATCTGTTCTGGACAACATCAAATCATAGAATCATAGAATGGTTTGGGTTGGAACAGATGCCGCTGCGATGGTCAGGGACACCTCAAAGACCCGTCCAACCTGATCTTGAGCACACTTCTCTGGGCAACTTGTTCCAGTCTCTCACCACCCTCACAGTACAGAATTTCTTTCTTAAACCTAATCTACACCTATCTCGGTCAGTTTAATTCCATTGTCCCTTGTCCTATCATCACATATCCTGTAAAAAAACCCTTACCAACTCCCTTGTCAGCCCCTTTCAGGTACTGGAAGGCTGCTATAAGGTTTCCCCAGAGCATCTCTTCTCCAGGGTGAGGACAAAAAAAAAGAACATCTGAGTGGCAGTTTCAGTTCCATCCGTTCACCAGCATCTGGTTCATACAGTTCTTCTGGTAAAATTGTTAGGTACCTTGTTAAAACAGATTGCTGTTTTGCCCCCAGTAGCACTGTTGGGAGGCTCCTACAGGATCCCTTTGACCAGATGGTGAGAAATCTCCTATTTGAGGCCTTTCTTCCCTTTCCACACTAGAGATGTCCTGAGTAAGATCTGGGAGGGCCTTCCTTGGTGAGAGCTTTTTGCATCTTCTTGCACACCTCAGGGCTGTGCAAAATGCATTAAATTCATTGCCAATGGACATATGAGACATACCAGGGCTAGAGAAGAGGCTGTTACTCTCAGGGTAGTGCTGTGTGCCAGGGCCCATGGACCTCCACATTAAAGCCCCATGCAGTGGAGTCAGATGATGCATTTGCTGGACTTTGTGTAGTTTCTCTGTGTGATTATCTCTTTCAAAACCAATAGTAAGGCATCATGATATACAGAGGGCCAAGTGACTGCAAGACCTGTACCCTTAGTCATGGTGAAACCACAGACACATCTCATTGTAACTTGAGATGTAGTGGTTCTATTCTAAATCCCCATTTCAAGCTGATGATTTTCTTGAAGCAAGAACAAATGCTCAGGCAGCTCAGCACAGCCTAGCAATTTTTATTATATTAAGAATATAGGATACAATTGTTAAGTCATTGGAGGGAACCTGTACTATGCTTTCATTATTCCATGAAAAAAGCAAACATTATTCATATCTGTTACAGTGGCAGTAGAGTGGTGCCTACACACATAGAATCCATGTCCAGCATCAGTTTCCTCATGCACAGCACACTGTCTTGCCAGAAATGCAACATAGGTAGGATCTGGATAGCAGTTATCGTACCTGCTTGTATAGTACTTCCAGAGAGATCAAAGAGTTACAAAAGTCAAACAGAGCTCCCCAAAAAAAAAAAAAAGTCCTTCCTTGTCCCACAAGCCACAGAGATGGCTTCTATTTAAAACCAGTCCTCACAAAACAGCACAAATTTTATCCTCGATGCTTGAAGCTCAAGTATTTACACAGGGAATTTAGACTCTTCACTTGTGGTTTTGGCAAAAGCTTCACACAAATGTTTTGCACTGGTGGTCTCTTAGCCATTTAAGATAAACGCCAAAATCAAATGCAGTCCTTGCAGACTGGAGCGCTGGATGCTGTGCCAAGGATGAAGTATCCCCATTTGCCTCACATGTGTAGCTGTCAGATCAACATGCAGGCCTGGTTTCTGAATAGGGACTCTCAAGGTGGAGAGACTCCCTTGGAAAATGTTGCATGTTTAGGGTCAGAAGGAGCATGGATAAATATTCCTTGCTGCCACAGTGTCTGTTCCTTTAGGAAATGTTTTTTCTAGGGTTGGAGGGAACACAGATAAATCTTTCTGCTTGCTGCCATGGTGTTTGCATCTATCAGCAAGGTGAACACTCATGCACAGCCAGAGATGCCACCATTTAGTAAGAAAGCATTTGCCAGAAGGTACCCCACAATTAGCACACATATTTCCTGATCTAAATACAGGGTGAAACTGTGGTTTCTGATCTACCACTGTGCGGTAACTGTTGGCAAATGGCAGATTTTTAATGGCGACTACTCCACCACATTTCTTCATGTAGAAACTGGCCTTGATTAGCAGCTACCCTTTAGTTAATAACTTAGTGGCAGGAATAGTTTGAAATAGAGAGGTTGGGATTCCCAATGGATGGAAAGTGGTGCCATTCACTCAGCTTCCCTTTAAAGTCTGCTAATTTGTGCCAGCCAAAAACGTGACTCCTACATGACTCTGTGTGTGTGTGTGTCTGTATTTGTGCAGGTGTATGCCAATATTTAAGACTTGTATCTTAGTTTTTCAAAGCCACAGAGTTCAGTTTGGACTAGTGCCAGGAGGAGCAAGCACTTCCAGTGGAGCAGGAGAAAACTCTTAAATACAGCTTTTAAATGGCAGGTGATTCCTAGAGGGGTTAAAAATAAATAATAAGGTTGTAGGTTACAATATCATCTTTTAGCTACCAGGAAAAAGGTTGCTCCCTTCCTCGCAGGCTCAATAGGGAATCGGCCTGCATAATCAGGGCATGCAAAATGCACAACTGGCCGCAGCTCAAGCGGGAAGGCAGCACATGGCCGCCAAGGCTTCCTTCTGGGAGCTCGGCTCCTGGCACCTCACTGAAGCCATTTGAGCTCTAAGTCACTGCACTTTGTCCGGGCTGGTGTGTGGAGCCCGCTTCAGCAGTGGCTCGGCAGAAAGTCTGCCCAGTTTTGTGTCGGCTCAGTGCATTAACACCGCTGTAAAACAATTATCCCCCTTTTGATTTGGTCCCTGAGCAAGCGCTGGTGGCGACGTCCGCCGCCTCTGGCTCTGCTCTGTGCCAGGGCTGGCCATCCCCCATCTTCACCCCACTCCATGCCCACACAGGCCCTCAGCCTGGGTTTGCAGGTGCTCCAGGTCTCTTCTTATTCTTCCCCCACCCAGCGTGAGCCCTCAGCCGGACCCAGAGAGGGGTTCAGAGCAAGCGTGTTGAGCGTTAGGCAGCCAGCCCCCACTTCGCTTGTTTGATGCCTCCTCTGTCCCTTCAAACTTAGATCCGACTGACAGTTTTTTCTATTGTTTTTTCTCCAGGGCCGTCCAGGCCTGCAAACCTGCCGGGGGCTCCCATAGCTGCCTCCTCCCACCCTCACACATCCGTGATCACGTCACCTCTCCGCGCACTGGCCTCCCTCCCGCCCTGCCTTAGCCTGCCCTGCTGTGGTGCACGTGCAGTCTCAGTTGGCGGGACTCAGACTGAGATTCAGACTGAGACGTCAGGCACATTTGGATGTCATTGTCAGTTGTCAGGTAATAGAAATACTTTTTTTTTGTTGCTATCTGAAGGTCAGTAGTGCTGCCAAGTGATGTCGTCTTTGCTGTGGGAGAGCTGCCTTTGCGGGGTCGCATGGGGAAGGCAGAGAAAACGCCCTAAGCTGCCCTCCCCTCCCACTTCCCTTCCTCCTTCCCTCTCCACCCCGGAAGAGGATGGGGAGTGGGAAAGGGCCTGCGACTCCCTCCATTTTCTCATCCCTCCCCTCCTGCCTGCCCACCCTCAGTTGTCACCTGCGGCCACTGCTGGGCCGTTTGTGCCATGTTGTGAACAAATGTCTCAGACTCCTTGCAGAATGTGACACCCCAGTATCAAGATTTCATCTCTTTAGGCTGTTTATTTTAAGCTTAATTGGATAGCATTTTACATCTGAGGTATTTTTATTTCCTTCTTTTTTGCCCTTCCTCCTCAGTCATTCATATTAAAGGCTCTCCTCCGCATCCATGTGCACGCAGGATGTATGTGCTCCATGCTGTCCCTTGCTTTGAGAAAATGCTCCTTGGTAACTCACCATGCATCCCTGGCCTCTTACCCCATCAGTTTTTCTTTTACTTTATTCCTTTTGGATGCCTGACTTTTATCACCACAAGGAGGGGAAAGTGAAAATGAAGGTACACCAAGCTAGCCAAAGAGAACACAGACATATTGTCACCAGACCCCATCATTTCAGACCCAGTGATCTCTTTGAAATCAGTGGGTGTTTCTGAGCATGGATCAGTTGCAAGACTCGGTCTATGATGAACTCTGTGCTGGTGAGGTGAAAATGGGGAGGATTTAAAAGAAAATGCAGATGTGGCAAAATCCACAAATGTTTATGGACTCTCTCTGTGGTGGGCCAAGTCCCACAGCCCTCATTCATGATAATGTGCATGTAGTTTTAATAAGGAGTTCCCTAAATGATGCTGGATAAGTAAAGCATGAGTACCAAAGGATTCAGAGACAGCAATGACTGTCAGGAGAAAAGCCTTTGGGAAATGGCTCCTCATTTCTCCCCTGAAGCTGGCAGAGCTTTGTTGTGCTACCTTTTTCCTTCCACAAGCACTGGTACCACTTGGCTACAGTGGTATGCTGTATCTCATGAGAGTGTTCTTGTCCATCTCTCATTGATGTAATAAAGTGAGATATAAAGTTTTGCAAGAAATTTAAATTTGTATCTTGGAAACCCTGGGTCTTGAAAGATAAAATGTTCTCAGGAGGAGACTAAGAGCTCTCTGCAGGGTGCTGTGTAGGTCCTGGGTGAAGCTCAGGGCACACAGAGAAGCCTCCCTTGCTGCCTGGAAGATGCTCAGCCTGCACCCATCCACTTGCACTGGTGCCCAGGCTCTGGGTTTGTAGCAGTGTGCTGTGTGGTGAGGTGCCATCAGTAAATCCAGGGTCTGGTTACATTTTCTATCCAAGCTGCTGCATGCAGTATGGCAGAGGATGCAGTTTTAATGAAATTCTGCTTCGTCAGCCTCGGCAGACTGAGCAACATCGAGACAGGCTCTTGCAAATGGTGAGTGTTGGATCAGAAAGTCAGAAAGCTTCCCTGCCTTCTCCTCCCAGGAACCAGTAAACCAAACTGGAACTGGTCTCATGTTTTGCTGTCTTCTCTGTCTTCACTGGTGTAGTATGCACGTGCATGCCTTCAGGAGGCACGTAGTTGTAACGCTGAATTGGATACCCCAGTTCCCTCTTGCTTCTGATTCCAGCAGCTAGTGGGAATGGAAGCAAGTACACCTAAAAATAGAAAAGGAAGGAAGGAATAACTTATTGAAGGATGTGGGGAAGGTGAGGCTTTTGTACTTCGTGTACTTGGAGTTCTCACTTTGGAGTTGTGCGCTGTGAGTCTTTGAAATTGCCTGTTTGCTGGGAGAGCAGTGCCAGCTCTGTGGAGGGGGAGACCTGTTATCATGGCTTCCTGTAATTACTGCTGCAGTCTGCCACACTGAGAGAATAGGCTTTATCAAAGTGCATGCTACATGTTTATGACAGTAGTTGGTCAAGGTCTGCTTGAAAGAAACATTTTCTTCCCTTGAAAAAGGAGATTATGTCTACTTAACCCTTTCTTAGCTCCCATAGTATTCACTGTGTGTGAGCCTAGGCAAGGGTTGTGTGTTCTTTCTGTCGCCCAAAATGTTTTGTGGAAATGATAGAAAAGTGAGTTCTTTGTGTTGATTAATAATCTAGTGACAATCCCTGCATTGTGCCTTTTTTTTAAATATAGACATTTACAACAGTCACTTGCTCCAGCTTTAGAGATCAGCTTGTCTCTCTGACTTGATTAGCCTTTTATTCTGTCAGCCCTGCTCTTGCATCTGAGGAATTGGTTACTTCTTTGAACAAAAGCCATCAGCAGTTCCCGCCTCCCCTCATCCTTCATCATTTCTTACCTTTCCTGTTTTTCAGCATTTATTTAATTCAGGACCTGGAGATTTTCCTTGCAGTTCTCAAGCAGACTGTGACTCTGATGGCTTGAAGTTGCAGGTACTCCAAAATCTTTGCTGGGCACTCACAAACTGGGCCCTCAAGAGTCCCTCACAGCAGTTTGTGCTGGAGAATCCAAATGTCTGGCTGCTGGTGGGATTTGGGGTACACATGTGTGAAAACTGCATTTGGAAATCTCCGACCTAGATAAGAGTGATTGTCTGGGATGCTGAGTAGTGTTCAGTCATGCACAGAGGAAGTCGTGCTGCTTCATCCAGAGTTGTTAGTGATCTTTAGAAAATGTGCTGCTGATAGTTTCAGTCACAGCAAATGGTGCTGGGAGGTCTGCTTGGATGTCCACTGTGCTGCTCAGCCAGTGCTGATTGTGGTCCACTCTCTCTTCGTTCAATTCTTTGTGTTCAAGGCACCCCAGGATGAGGAATTTGCAAGTAAAGGTCCATGTTTTTTCATGTGATTAAAAAAAAAATCTCTACCACTGGTTCAATCTCTCTCAGTCTATTTATTTATTTATATATTTTGCCCCAGAAGCTTTTGTCAGTTGAATTGGGTTCTCCCATTCAAATTTTTTTAGTGCCTATTTAATTAGAAGTTGGAATAGAGTAATGAAATTCACAGGGTTATGTAGCTTGGATCTAAAATATAGATGGGCAAAGCATTCATTTTGCTTTACCCCTTGCCAGATTAGGGTGCTTTTTTGAGCCTGCTTTTTATTTCATTTCAATGAATTGCAACTGCTCAGAGTAACTGTAAAACACACACAGTTTTTTTGGTTTTTTTTTTGCATAACAGAGACATGCAAATGATTGTTGAGAGACACAATTATGTAAAGAAAAGTATATGTCTGTGTGCATGCACACATACACTGCAATGCTTTTTGTGGGGCTATTTTTTCACAATACATCTTCATAAGGCTCTTTTTATGATGCTGATTTATTAATATTGTACATTAAGGCTTAAATTGTCAAAGCTGCCTAAGAGATTTGGATGCCCATTTCCCATTAAAGTTAACGAGAAATGAGCATTGAAAATCTCAGCACAGAAGTGCATGGCACTTTACAGTGTGTTCTCCAAAGAAAAAAGTCCCTGCCTTGAAGATACTGTGGTGCAAAAGCCCCAGGAAGAGGATTGTAATCAGCATAAGACAAAGGGGATTGTAATGGCACAGAGAATAATTAATCCCCTGTGCCTGCATTCAGATATATACCTGGTCCAAATTCTTTGGACCTGGGCCTACAAATGAGGGTTTTATATACCCCTGTAAAGATAATTAAATCTGTCTAATACACATATATTCATCTAAGCAGTGAAACTGCTTCCTTCCCACATGTAGGCTGATGGAAGGAGATGGAAAGCAATTATGATACTTAGTTGCATGTATAAAAACAGCAAGTGGGCATGGACAGCAGTGATTAATGGACAGGGCTGTGAAATTTAAGGTCTAAAATAGAGGAAGGCATGGGGCCATATCTTGGAAGAGAGGAACAAGCTCCTGCTAATTCAAGGAATCAGCTGTGTTAGTCATTAGGACATTCTGAAAATCACAGTCATCTTGTAAAGTTAATATCAATTTACTTGGCTACTGAAATTCTACTTACTGCTTCATTTAACTAGTCTGGTGTTTTCTTGGCAGAGGTTAAGGTGACAGTAAAGATAAAAGCAGTCCCTGTAACTAAATCATAGGTTTTAAAAGAATACTTTTTCCTCCATCTATTATATCACCGTATTCATTTTATGTTGGTTTTATAACTGGAGTCAGCCAATGAGAAGAGCTAGATTAGACCACCCTGCTGTAAAAAGTTTGATGCAATTAATACAGTCTGTCTAGAAAGAAGTATTATTTCAAAAACTTTTATGTTAATGATATGGTATGCACTCGGCACGTTTCATACTTGAACAAGAAGCAAGCTTTTGTTCACTCCAGCCTGGGTTTTATTAACACAGGAGGATCAATGGAAAACCAAACAGTAATCAGAGCACAGAATACAAACTCATCCAGCAAAAACCTTCTAACTCATCATGTCCCAGGAAAATGACTGATACTCTACTCTTCATTTTTTGCTGAGTGAAGTTTCAAAAAAAAGCAAAAAAAAAGCAAAAAAAAAGCAAAAGAAATTGATTTCTCTTCAGCACTGATTCTTTTTTGAGAAGAGAAAGAGGAATTTGGTATAAGTGTCAGAGGACAGACAAAGATCTACAGTTTCCCTGAGAGCCTTTGTAAATGTATCTTTTCATTTTGCTGCATAAATAAGAGGTTTGCATAAAAATACTGGCTAACATTCAGGAGAGATGTCCCTATGAGTCGTGTATTTATTTATTTTAGTGAAATATTTAATGCATGCTACAGTAGAATTGACTTCGTGGACAGTACTTACATAGTGCAGGGATGTGTGAGAGATGTATACACTAAAAAGAGTAATGCATCAGTCTGAGTGCACACATCCATCTTTACACCTATCTATCAATCTCTGTGTTCATTCACCTATCCAAGTATTAAAATCATATGTGACCTGCTGTCTAGGCTGCTCCCTGTCTCACTAGATATTAAAATCAG